GTGTGTGTGTGTGTGTGTGTGTGTGTGTGTGTGTGTGTGTGTGTGTGTGTGTGTGTGTGTGTGTGTGTGTGTGTGTGTGTGTGTAAAAATAAAGTAAAGCAAAATAAGTAAGTTGACAATAAAAGGTATTAAACACGTCACTAATCATGAAATTCTTACCAGATGTCGGTAACAACCCATCCAATTCACACATACAAAGGAATAAAGCCATAGATGCCCAGAAATGAAACATGTAATAATGAGAATAATAATGTAATAATATTGAGATGCAGGGAAAAAGTACTAAACACATAAAGAAAAAGAGGTGCAAAAAGGCATCAAGAGTCATGACACCAGCTGAAATCTATCAGTAATTAGAAAGCAATCCTGCCACTTAGTGTAAATTAATACCAGCTGGTTCAGTCCAACTGAAGGCCTATAAAAATGTGTGTCATTACCGAGGTGCCACACAACAAACATTTCATGATGGATAAACCAGTGAGCTCTCTCAAGACTTATATTGGCATTTTCATATTCTTACCTTTCTGTCATTGGGGTCTGCACTCTCCTCATCAATGTCTCCCTGAAATAGAATATAGGAAATTGAAGTTTGTAAACTTGGTGTTTGCTCTTACTGTAGTACTTCATCAGTGCACAATTTCTCTTGAATCACCCGCAAATCATATTTTTGATATTGACTTATAGTGTCACTAGCAGCATGGCTTGAGGTCTAACTGTCTAACTGGCTCAGTGAATTGGACACCCAGCTCTGCACCACTGAAAAAAAAATACTATAACTAGCCCAACCCCAGCAGTTAGTTCAGGCCAAATAAACTTAGCCATAACTGTCCTCCAACAGGTCCTCCCAAGCAGCTGGAAAATCAGCAGCTCGGTGACTATAAGGTTCCTCCTCACAATTTGGCCCTAAACAGAAGCACCCTGATGCACCACAAACCCACATTTCAAATCCATTTTCCCCAGTCAGCTACACACCCGTAACTCTGGCAATTGGCCACTCCATTCTTAGACACATGACCCTGGAGACTCCAGCGACCATAGCTGATTGTCTTCCAAGTGCCAGAGCAAATCCCCCAGCTTACCTCTATTCAAGAGTGGAATAAGGAACTTAACATCCAGCAGTTTTATGGTTACAGTAATTCAGTGTGCTATAAACAAAGTATATCTATATGTGGTTTTGCTATTGGTAATTATGCATAAATCTAATCAATATAATGAATGAGATGTATTGAGATGAAAAGAGGATGCAGCATGGAAAGCGTGAGTGTGTCTGTGTATGTGCATGTATGCATGTGCACATGTGTGTGTGTGCCTAAGTGTG